CTTGATCGAAAGCCAGTCGAATCCGACTCTAGGGTTGCGGTGCTCATCTCCGTTTCAAAGCCGAAGAGTCAGTGCTGTCCGAAGACGTTTCCGTGGTCATGTGGCCGGCATGACTTAACACCAAGGCGCACGGATCGCTGTTCCCTTCCCACCGAAGCGGTACCTATTTATCTACTAGCAATTTCTTGCTTTCGAACAGCTAGGTTGGCAGGAGCTGGAACTAGAGATGGGAGCTCACTCCGTCATGCGGCACCTGGGTCTCGAATTGCTGAACTACTGACCTTCCACAGCCTGCAGTTCAGCGTCTTAACCACTTGAGCCACCGCAGCTCTAGGATAGGGGTGGCCAAACTGTGGCTCAGGAGCCACATGCAGCTCTTTCAGACATATTGTGCGGCTCCTGGCAGGGGAAGTGAAGGGGAGACATGCTCCCCAATCGGTCTTCCCTTCCCCAGGGAGTGTTCCCCTCCCTGGTAGGCTTGAGGTGGGGCTGGGAAAGCAGGGAAAGAAAGCAACTTTAAATGCATTCTCAAAGCCCCTCACTCAAGCCTATAGATATCATTGGACCAGTGTCCCCTCTAAGCTGAGTTAGTGTGAGCTAGCTCACAGTTTTCTAGCCTCTGGCTCACAGATTTTTGTCTTCGCTCAGGAAGGAGGGCTCCAGAGCAAACTCATTTATGCAGCAGCCAAATCCCCTGCTCACAGCTTTCATGCCAGTAGCTCACAGAGTAGAATTTTTGCTCACAGGACTCCATAGCTTAGAGGGAGTACTGCATCGGACAAATAAATATCATTATCAATATCTGTTTTTAGCCCTTTCGTTTTTATTTTTGGAGATCTCATTTAACGTTAGTCAAAAGCAAGTTTGCCTATTTTCCAATAAAAACATGTGTGGGCGATATTTCTTCATGTCTACGTTAAGCAAGTTTGCCACCCCTGGTCTAGGAGAATCCACTTCCTTGTTAGAGAAACCCTGGATGCATCATTCCCGGTTCCACAAAATATAATCCCAAAGGATGTCACAGTTTCATCCACCATTTGCCAAATCTATGCTGGTGACAGATGCTGGGCTTTAAGGTCGCAGCAGCCTAGTGCAAAATCCCCTCAGACCCTCCCTCAAATTCAGTGAAGTGCTCTATCGTCCGTTCGTCCGTCCATCTATCATCTAGCTATCATCTATCTATCTGTCATCTAGCTAGCTAGCTAGCTAGCTATCATCTATCTATCTATCTATCTATCTATCTATCTATCTATCTATCTATCTATCTATCTATCTAGGTAGCTATCTATCATCTATCTATCTATCTATTATCTATCATCTAGCTATCATCTATCTATCTGTCATCTAGCTAGCTAGCTAGCTAGCTATCATCTATCTATCTATCTATCTATCTATCTATCTATCTATCTATCTATAATTTATCTATCTATCATCTAGCTAGCTATGCATCCATCCATCCACACACACACAAACACAGAGATATGGGGCTATCTATCATCTATCTATCATCTAGCTAGCTAGCTAGCTAGCTATGCATCCAATCCATCCACACACACACAAACACGCAAAAAAAAATTCCTGGCCCATGCAAAGAGACTAATGCAGGCCAAAAAAAAAATCTATTTATTTTTAAACACTCCTTGCCAGAAACTCCATGCTGAGCTATTTTAACAAAGTTCCCTTCCTTTCTGAGCAAACTGTCTCCTGGAAAACTCTCCGCCAGGCAGGAGGCAACCTTAGAGACCAGCAACATTAATTTCAAACAGAGCGCTCACATGCTGTGAGTATCCATTAGGCAGACATGTTGTGTGCTGAAATCTACAAACAACAGAAAGGCCAAAGGGGGGAATGTGTTACAAAGAGGCTGCTTTAAAGCGAGATCAAAAGGATATTGACTGGCTGTGTTTGAAAAGAGACTCTTTTTGTAACAGGCTGGTGTTTGTAACGGTTCCCTCCCCTTCCCTCCTTCAGTTATTTATAGCACTGTGGTGTAGGAGTTAGAGCATCAGACTACTATCTGGGTAAAGGTAAAGGTTTCCCTTGCTCGAAAGCTCGTCGAATCCAAGTCTAGGGGGCAGTGCTCATCTCCGAATCCAAGCCGAAGAGCCAGCGCTGTCCGAAGACTTCTCCATGGTCCTGTGGCCGGCATGACTAAACGCCAAGGCACACAAAACACTATTACCTTCCCACCAAAGTGGTAGCTATTTATCTACTTGCAGTTTCTTGCTTTCAAACTGCTGGGTTGGCAGGAGTTGGGGCCAGAGACGGGAGCTCCCTCCGACACACGGCACTTGGGTCTCAAACTGCCGAGCTCCAGACTTTCCGGTCTGCAGTTCAGCATCTTAGCCTCTCAAATCCTCACTCTAGGTGACTTTGGACCAGTTAAACACTCTCAGCCTAACCTACCTCACTGGGTTGTTGCGAAGGACCACCAATGGCGGAAGTGAAAATGAAGTACATTGCTCCATGTTCCTCAGAGGAACAGTGGGATATAAGGGTACCAATAAATGACTTTAAATAAAGGTAAGAGAGGGGCCATGGCTCACAGGTAGAGCATCTACTTGGCATGCAGAAGGTACCAGGTTCTATCTGCAGCCTCTCCAGTTAAAATCGATATAAATGAGGCACTTTCTCATGACAGGTGATGTAAAAGACTTTCACCTGAGACCCTGGAGAGCTGGTGCCAGTCTGAGTAAACGATACTGACTTTGATGGCCCGACAGTCTGCTTTGGTATAAGGCAGCTTCATGTGTGTATCTGTCACATGGATGTGCGCTTCATGCATCTAACGAAGTGAGCTCAGACTCATCCATGCTTGTGGCCAAATAGATTTTGCTGCACATCATGATGCCCCTAGTCTCCAAGTTAATTTTCCAGCACACACAGCTATCCAACGTGAATGTGCAGTGCAATCCTGAATTCTGCCCTTCTCAGCCCTTCATAGGGCTACAGCCAGTTTGGTGTAGTGGTTAAGTGCGCGGACTCTAATCTGGGAGAACCGGGTTTGATTCCCCACTCCTCCACTTGCACCTGCCGATGTGACCTTGGGTCAGTCACAAGCTCTGGCACAGCTGTCCTTGAAAAAGAGCAGTTTGTGTCAGAGTTCTCTCAGCCCCACCCACCTCACAGGGTGTCTGTTGTGGGGAGGGGAAGGGAAAGGAGTTTGTAAGCCGCTCTGAGACTCCAAGTGAAAGGCGGGGTATAAATCCAATCTCTTCTCTTCTTCTTCTATTGAAGTCTGCCCTTCTCAGCCTATTGAAGTCAAGGGGCTTAGGGGGGCGGAACTCTGCTTAGGATCTACACTGGAGACCCAGGTTTGAATCCCCGGTAGACACAAGCGACCTGGGCTAGTCAGTCTCTCCGGCCTAATAGGCTGTTGTAGGAATAACATGGAGGAGGGAAGGACAACGTTGTAAGCGGCCTTGGAAGCCCCACAGGGCAGGGAAAAGAAAACAACAACAGCGTGGAAGTGGCTAAACAAACACTTGCTATCTTGGTGGGAGCCAAAGAGCCGTCTTCGCTTCTTGGTTATCAACAGCCTCAGGCAGAGACCATCTGCTTGAAGGAAGAACAGTCTGTTCTCCAGACAGGAAGGCGGACGGCTCTGGCAAGTTCACACAACGCCTTTATATATATATAATTGTTATAATAAAGTCCCGTCAAGTTGCAATGAACTCACGGCTACCCTTTGCGGAGTTCTCCAGGCAAGAGCTGAGCAGAGGTGGGTTTGCCATCGCCCGCCTCTGACGGCTGGTCTCCCATCCAAGGATGAACCAGGCCCGACCCTGCTTAGCTTGTGAGACATGATGAGATCGGGCTAGCCTGGGACACCCAGGTCAGGGCAGTTCATCCATAGGGCTACAAAGACACAGCTGAACTAACGGGACAATTTTCTACCGCCTGGCCAGCCGCTGGAACCTGGC